TTGGTAAATCATTTTTAGAGCTTATTCATTCGTAAGTCTTAAAGGCTATTTCATTTTAAATTTTTTTTTTTGTTTTAAGCTAGCAGTCCATGCTTTGTTCCTCACAATTTCTGTAAGTTAGACATACATTACATTCTCCCTATTTCTGAACTCGCCACATTCGCCAAAATTTCATAAAAGCACTGAAATAATTCCTCTCCTACATGCTTAATTGCTGTTATTTGTTTAACATTGTCTGGTCTCAATAATCCGCCCTGTCTTTTTGTATTTCCCCCAATTGCTAGCCTATCTTTCCCTTTTGGCCTACTGCCAAAATAATGTCCTTCACAATTGCAGGTTATCACGTTCGTAATATCAATGCAAATAGTGCGCTGTTGGATGAAATGAAGCCCGATGAAGTGCCAGATGTGATCTTAGTTCGGAAAATTTACGATCGAACAATGCGACAGCGGCGTCGAAACTGGAAATTGAAACGACTTGTTGAGAATGGCAATGTTGTCAACGACACTGCTTCTGTGGAAAATGAATTTGAGGTTGGTAACGATCCATCGTTTAGGGCTTTTTAAAAATATGAAAATAACGGCTGGCAGTTTGAGCGAGCTTACCAGTTCATCGTTCTGGATTTTGCCTCCCGCTCCAGACTGTGGTCGAATGGATCGAGTATGCTCTGATTGCAACAACTGTTGAATGGAAAAGAGCTGAAATTGAACGTGATCGGGCGCTAGCAGTACTTTACCCGTGGCAGCATTTTGCGAGTTCCACTTCACTTCGTTGTGAAGTACACCGCTGGGCTTACTACTTGCTAAAGAAAGCTTGGAAGATATTAAGGAACCAATTTTCTGAAGCGTTAGATCAGTCTGCAAATTTCGGACTTAAGGTGCTGGATTTCCGTAAACTGCCTCTTACTTTCTTTAATGTAAATCAATGACAGGAGAAAAAAATAAGAAAGAGTGTCACTCCGCCGGTCTTTTAGCTGTACATGTACTTTCCAAGTCGGGTTGGATTCAAAAAGCCAGAAAGCAGGCCTACAAAGACCATAAATTTTATTTGCTTAGACATTTTTACAAGGAGCCAAAGATGATTATTTTGTTTTGCAGAACTTCCTGGAAGATTTGGAAGAGGATGAGCAAATGCGCGAGAAAATAAATATTTATCGAGACAGGAATAAGCAGCAATTGGCGGTCGATTCGAATGACATGGAAGCGGACTTGCCTCCTGGACCGTCACTGCAGGAGATGCTTGAGGACCTGGATCTAAATGGAGACGTGGAAATGACTGAATAAGATCTGTTCGTGCATTTTCCTCTTAACTGTAGTAATGGTATGGCTTTTGCGGATAAATAGTGAATTCTCGTCAGCAGCTCTATAAGTTGTTAACATTTCTAGGACTAGCGATTTTAGCTGTTTAAGAAATTTTTTTTTTTATTAATAGAATTTAGCTTATTCTGTAAAAATTATTCGGGCAACGGCATCATATTTTTTGATTTTACCTTTTTTGGAAGTAGATTTTTTGCGTTAAGCAGCTGACTGATGCTTGAACATGAATTGATTACTGGCTAAATGGAGTCAAAATTGTGAGCTTTGCCTTACGAAAGTGTAAGTGGTCTCACTCATTGGCCATTATGAGCAGCTAAAATTGTTGATTAAATAAATAGCTAATTAAGTGAAAAGTGGGTCAGGGTTGCCGATTCAGTCAGGTTTTTTTTGCATGGTTTTGAAAACAAAAAGTTCGAATGGTAAGAACATTCACTGCTTTGCAGTTTTAGACGGGTACTGATTTTGAAATCTTCGTTTTGTATTGACCAAACGCAAAAAGGAATTTTAGCTCTCATTATCACCAGTTCAGCGTTGTAGCTTGACGGTTTACCGCCTTGTTCAGAACCGCCGAACTTACCCCTCGTTTCCTCTTTCAAATGGTCCGGTAAATATATACCAGGAATGCCAGTACCACCGGGGCTATCAATGCGGGTATCCCATGTTAGTGACTGTTGTTTGGATGATCACACACATTGAGCGTCCCGCAGCACCGCTCACATTGAGCTCGGTAACAAACAAAGATTTATTCAAAAAACCTAAAAACCAGTCAGTATCGTAGAGGCCAAATGCAGCCCAACCAACATCAACGTCGACGGTGGTGAGTGCGGCTGGGGACGGTCATGTGGCATTGTGACATTTCCGACGATGCAGGACAAAACTGTTTCCCATTTCCTCATTGTGCCTTATGCAAGCCGATGATCATCTGGTGGATGCTTGCTCGCTTCATTTCTTCGCATCAGTTCGATCTAAGGCTGCTTACCTCCATTTAGTACCTACCGTCTGTTGGATGTGTGCGCACCAACTCTTCGGACTTATCGAGTGGTAATTTGCTTTCTTATGAGCACCATTCGGTAGTACAAGACACCCACGGGTTTGTTGGCAAGACGAGCAGCAGCCCTGACCATCTGATTTTGCTTTCTGGGCGGTCTCAGTGAAATCCTACATCTGGTGGCTTTTCTGTTTTCTTATCATGCGTTTTGTGCCATATGAAGCTGCACAAAACGCATATTGTCATGCCG